TGAGAAGGCGCAAGTCTCTCCAGATCAGGACTGACTGGGAGAGAGGCTGTGGCAGGCGCAGAGGGGCTGGGATGAGCAAGAGCGGCAGGAGCAGCAGGTAGGGTTGGACTGCGGTTTTGGCCCGATTCCCGCAGGCCACGCTGAGAAACCAGTGTCAGGCCTTTAGTATTACAAAACCGCAGTCCAACCCTACCTGCTGCTGGGTTCTGAAAATATTAGGGGGGGACACTTTGTAAAGAATATGATTGTCCAATCACTATGTTGTGTACTCGAACCCAATGCACAATAATATTGACCGTAAACTGTAAGCATAAAATTAAAAATAAGTAAATGGAAATTTTAAAAAAAAAGGCTTACCTGTTTGAATCGTGGGGGAGCAGATGTGACCTCAGCCCTCGCTGATGCACTGTTCTCCTTGCCCACTGGCCCTGCCTGCTCGGCATTGGTGCTCGCAGATGCCTGAGGAGAGGAGAGACTAGTTAAAGGCGTTTAAGTCTTACACTTGAAAAATAAAATTTTAAATGCCTCTACAGTATCATCCAAAACCCCAGTGATTACCTAGGTTTAAATCTAATAAATTATATTCAGAAAACTACATAATGTTACTAAGAAAAAATTTGAAAAGATCTTAATAAACAGAGTCATATATGGTGTTCATGGATTAGAAGATTCACAATCATGAAGATATGAGTTTTCCGGAAATTGAAATTTAATGTAATTGCAATGGAAATCTTAGAAGGATTGTTAAATGAAAATTCATAAACTAATACTAAAACTTACATGAAAATCCTAAAAATCAACAATAATCAAGACAAATTTTTCCTGATTTTTTTTTCAGTTGCAGTTGACATACAATATTAGTTTCAGAAGTACAACATAGTGATTAGACATTTATATAATTATGAAGCGTTCACCTTGAATCAAGACAATCTAGAAGGAAGTTGTTGGGGTTGAGGGGGGGCAGGGAAGGGGTGGAAGAAAAAGATGAAGTTAGCTTATTTTATTATGTCTATTACTCATACTAGTTCACTTATAGATAACTATCCACACCAAAAAGAAGGAAGCAAAGGTAATACTTAAAGGTCTTGGTATAAGATAACTATTACAACAAAAATATAAACCTTTCTAAATACAAAACATGTAGTAAGAGAGAGAGGGAAAGAGAGAGATTACACCAATAAAATAGGTTACAAGTGAAAGACCATCTAGCTTTCAACATCCCCAGCTCAAGCTGCATCCTTGGTCCCTGCTTCTGCTTGCTCAGCTCCTGGCCTCCTGGGAGGAAGATGCCTGGCACAGGATTGTTCCTGAAGATTCTGGATGAGGGTGAGCTAGGGAGAGGACAAGAGTTTGCATAAACCAGAGCAGGAGGACAGACTCCCTCCTGTGGGGAGAGAGGACTGGGGGAGGCAGACACTGCGAGAGAAGAGAAAAACACAGACCTGACTTCCAGCAGCTGCTCCACCAGCAGCAGCCTCTGTCCCTGTTCTGGCTCGGGCTTCTTCCCAGAAACCCAGAGAAACCTCAACTGTAAAGTCAAGAAGGAGGTACTAGCTCCCTGGCCTCAGGGTAAGAAAAGGAAGTTTTATGAAAAGAAAACCAAGGGAAAAAAACCAAGTCTCATATTGTGCAACCGGTGAAGTCCCACATGGCCCTACCCAGAGGACTCCATGCTTTTGGTTATAATTCCCAGATGAAGCATTTCTTCAAGAGAGTACCCAGGTCTCCTGCAGCTTCTGGGAGATTGAGTTCCCCCCTTGTAATTTGCTCAGGGGCAGGGAGGTGTCGAGGAAAAAGATTCCACTGTGAGGGAGAGACCCAGAGGGGGCCCTAACCCTGCCCCCTCTCTAATTTTAAAGTCAGAGACAGGCCACAGCTCTGCTATAGACTTCCTGTGACAAACGAGAAGATACAACCTTCCAGACAGGAATTCTAGCTCTCCCCACCCCCAACCTCCGAGGGTCACAGGAGTCTCCAGAAGAGGCAGGCTGCCTCTTCACCTGGCTGATGGGTTTCGTGCCCTTCCTAAAGCCTCAGTCTTCATTTTCAGCTGCTGATGCAGACCCTCCTCTTGAGATGGGTCACCCCGTTATAGTCCATCACCTTGGAATGTATCCACTTCATCCTGGGTTTCTCTTTCAGGGTATTTTGTCTCACTTTCTAGAATGTTCCATTACCTTCCACACTGAGCCGGAGGGAGCCACTGGCAGTGTCTCTTTGGTTAGTGATTGTATTAACTTCCTATTGCTGCTGTTAAAAAAAAAAAAAAATTACTACAAACTTGATGTCCTAAAACAGCACACATTTGATTCTTAAGTTCTGGAGGTCAGGAATCCAAAATCTGTTCCACTGAGCTGAAATCAAGGCGTCAACAGGACTGCTTTCTCTCCGGGGCTTTAGGAGAGACCATTTTCTTGGTTTTTCGCCCGCTGCATTCTTGGCATTTCTTGGCTCCTGGCCTCTTCCTCCACCTGCAAAGCCAGCAGCGTAGCATCTTGCTTCAATTGTCACACTGCCTTCTTGCCTTCTGTCATCAAATCTTTCTCTGCCCCCTCATTTAAGGACACTTATGACTACATTTAGGGCACAAAAACAGATAATCTAGGATAATCTCTCCCTCTCAAAATACTTAACTTGATCACATCTGCAAAGTCCTTTTTGTCATACTAGTATAAGGTACTGTTCACAGGTTCTGGGGATTAGGATGTGGACACTTGGGTGGCCTGCCTACTGATCTGTACCTTGTCTCAGGCTTGGGGGTCGCCCACTCAACCACTTCCCTCAAAATAGGGTTGAGTATCTTTAGCCAAAGACCACATGTACCATAACCTTTCAAGCCACCTCAACTTCCTCCATTCATTCCCTTTAGGCCCTAGGACAGTGCCATTCAATGGACTTTCTGCCATGATGGAAATGTTCTGTATTTTTGCTGTCCAGCCGGAAGCCAGCCACTAGCCACATGTGGCCAGGGAGTACTTGAAATATGACTAGTGCAACCGAATTATAAATTTAATTGACATGTAAATAGCCACTTATGGCTAGTGATTCATATATGGAATAATAGCTCAGATCTAGGCAGATGGAAAGCAGAAGCCAAGACCAGTCAGGCTCTTTGTTTGCTAGCCTCTCCTCACACCATTTCGGATCAGCTCTGCCCCCAACCTCCTTCTCTCAGACCAGGTGGAATCCAAAGGAGGTTTCTAGTGGGGCTCTGGGATGTGGATGGCTGAGGGCCGGGCAAAGAAGGGGATTGTGTTTATTTGGCCCCAGAGAGGTAGAGTCCCAGCTCTGCTTTTGCATTGGACTGAAAACTCTCAGATGTTTTACGAGGTTGCCCTTTTTACCCTCCTTTCACCATGAGTTGTCCTTTTTGGCACCACAGAGGCATGTCACAGGGAGCACAGAAAAGGGGACTAACCTGGGACATGGTACTGGCTGGAGTTCTGCTCTGTCACCCATTTGCTGGGTGGCCTTTAGCAACTTTCTTCTCAGTCCTCGGCCCTCAGTTTTCATACTAGGAGAGGATTGGATGAGACCGACTGAGAGGTTCCTCCCAGCTTTAATAGACCACAATCCTGTGTTTTGTAGATCAAAGCTTGATGGTGCATGTAATTCAATCTCAGAGCCCTGTTCCGACTCAAGTAATGGTTCTGATTGAAGGGTTACTGAAGGTTGCTCCCACCATGTTCCAGAACCAAATCTGACTTCTTCTTCTGTCCTCATGATAACACTCCACCTTGGCTTTGGGTTTAGAGAGCTGATCCACTAGCTAATCTAATCCACAGAATGGCACTAGAAAGACAGACACAATGCCCATTGTAAGTGAAAACGCTAGGCTCGGAGAGGGAAAGAGAGAATCTTCCCGATGTCAGACCCTGTGATGGGTGCTTTACAATCTACATATATAAAAGCCTAAGCAGCCATCCTACCAGTCTACTGTCTGAAACCCAACTGGTAGCTATGATACGCAATGACCACCAGGGGGCAGACGGTTCACGCAGGAACTGCCTTGTTGCAGCGACTTGGCAACTGCAATTCTCAGGTGACACACCTGGAATCAGAGAGGAGGGAGCCCAGTTCCAGGGTCGTCACCCAAGAACCATCCTCTCATAATCTGGGAATCCTTAGGGGATGTCAGGCTGAGGGTGCACGAATCTGTGCATTGGGCCTCTAATAACCTTATAATAGTCCTTCCAAGTGGATAATATTGCCCCCACTTTACAGGTGTAAAAATTGAGGCCAGTTGGCAAGATGACTTTCTTAGTGATATGCTGATAATAAATGATGGAGGCCCATTTTTATAACTCTGAAATACCTCGTCTTGACTCTATATCATACTGCTGCTGTATTTACAACTTCTCTACCAGATGTTGAGATAACCTTTAGCATCACAGCTGTCCTTTTGGATCATCCCCTCATGGTGCTCTCCAAATAGACCTACAAGCCTTAGCAAGTCACATCACCTCTGAGCCTCTGTTTTCTATCTGTGAAGTTGGAGGTAAGAATCCCAAATTCATAAGGGTGTTAAAATTCTTGGTGGAAGTATTAAGTGAGATCATGTTTTTAGCGCATTTAGCCCATATGAAGTCCTCAGTAATTGCTCATTCTTATAGTGTTTGGAAATGGTAGTTTGTCCCTATTAGAAACACCAGGCAAGTCTCTTTGCACAAGACCAAATTAAAACACAAAGAAACTGTCCGTATATATTTTTTAAAGTTTTATTATGAAAACACATGGCATCGACTGTATTACCCATGTATCCGCAATAGCAGAGAAAATGATGGTGGACCATCCCCACGGGGGACATGTGTCCTTTGGCAAAACCAACATAAATTATGAAAATAAGACAAATAATAAAAATACAATAACAATAACAGCACATAATAAAAATTAAATTGAGAGACGGGACAGGGACTATTGAGAGAAGTGGTGAAGGTGGAGAAGGTGGGTCTCACGGAGAAGCTTCAGGCTCAGGTGACTTGCCCCTGTGCCTGGAGCACTCAGTTCAGTTCCAGGTCATTAATGTACTCCTGGACCCAGGACTCACTGGGGTTGGCGCAGATCTGTTTCCCCTTTTTGGTTTGAAATCTGCGGAAGAAGGAATGGATAGATTAGAACCGAATGGGACCTTGTCTGTGGTAGCTCTCTCCCTTTGCTTGACCACAGTTCATGCTGGACAGCTCTAGCGGGTAGAAAGACCCTTCTGGGGTGGCTCTGGAAACAGACTCCTTGTAACTTCCACCCAGGATTTAGCTGTGGCCTCAGCTAATTTGGTTCCCAGATTAGGAACCAATGAGTTTTATCATCAACATGACTATCTCCCCCCATTCATTCCCTAATGCCCCTAGCAATAACTTTTCTATTGTGTTTTTCTAAGCGTGGTTTAAGAATCAGCCCACATTCCTGTGATATTTTTTACTTTCCCTAGTTTTCTAGCATCTGGCTAATTTCCTTCCCTGAAATGTTCTCCCCCTGAATCTTGTCCCTTGATTCCCTCCCAGTCCCCTCCAGATTCAACAAGTGAATTCATGACTTTGTTCCTTATTCCTTTCTGGGAGGGCTTCAGCCCTCAGGCCTGCCTCCATCCTGTTTGATCCTCTCTCTGCCCTGCCCTTGCTCTCCAGAGAAGGCCAGAAGTTGATACTCACACCACAGCGGGCTGGGAGCAAAGGCTGCTGGTCTCGTAGTAATCCTCCACAAAGTTCCAAGGAACTTTCCGCTGGATGTAGGAGAAGCAGCAGGAGGTAGGAGGGTCGGAACCCACTGGAAAGGAAGGCCAAGGTGAGATCAGAGCTCTATAAAATGCCGCTCCTTTTGGCTTTTAGTTATGGATATTCAAGGGGCATCTCTGTGGAGCTATTCGAGCCCAAATATGGTCCCTTGTCTAATCCCATCCACCCTGAGTAAAGTCTTTTTCTGAACATAGTGTCCTCAGAGAAGATAATGGCACTGGATTGGGTCTCAGAGCACACATCTAACCCCATTTACCAGATGAAAAACCAAGACACAGAGAGAGACTTCTTGAACAAGTCTCCTGGTTACTGTTTCTTAAGAAAACAGAAACTGGAATATTAATGAATGTCTAGTAGACACTACATTTAGCAGCAGGCTACTTAAAAATCTCCCCTATGTCCCATCCCCAGATGCCGCTGTTGGACCAGCCCCACCTGGAAAAGTGGGCTCTAGAAGCAGTAGCTGGAATAACAGACTTACTTGGTGCTGAGAGCGCTGGAGAGCAGAAGGCAGCCGCGAGCACGAGGAGAGAGAGGACGGTCACACAGAGCTTCATGGTCTTGGCAGAGAAGAGGCTTTCCTGGAGCTGAGACTGAAGTGCCCAGAAGCTTCAGAACCCGACTGTGTTCTGTGCTGATGCTGAGCTTGGACAGCCTCTTTATAGGAACTCTGAGGACTGGAACAGAGGTGGGAGCACCGGAGGGCTGGTGGAATTTCCAGGGTAGAGATGACGTCATGGTGCCGATGAGGAAACTGAAGCTAGCTGAGAGTGAGGAGCTCTGCACAGCTTCCCTTCCCCGGGGCGATGTCATCATGGTGGAAAGAAGGGGGAGGAGGAGGGGAGAAGTGGGCTGCGCCCTTGAGGGAAGTGGTACACCAGCGGCAGTGACCAAGACCAAGAAGATAATTGTAAACCCGACAGGAAGGGTGCAGCATTCACACCTGCGAGAAGGGACGTGTAGACAAGGCAACCATGCTGTTCTTGGTGGTTGTCACCTCCAGGAGCTTCATGTCAGTCCTTCCAGAGTTGCCACAGGCCTGGCCCCAAAAAGGAAAGGGGAACTCGAACTCCATGTCAGATTCTTGGACCTCCTGCAGGGCTGGGTGGCCTTATATGTTTCTTTGGGCATAAAGAGTCCAGCATTGAATGTGCAGAGGGCCCAGCAGGACACTGACCTACTTACGGAGCAGGCACTTGGTGCCAGACCCTGGGCAAGCTGCCTTATACACGTAACATCAGAACCTACCTTGGCCCTGAGCAGGGGTGGGGTCATTCCTGGAGGCAATAAAGATCGAAGAACAGAGGAGAGTTCACTGATAATTTCAAGGCCACAATCTTAAGGGGCAGTGCCAAGATTGCAATGAGATCTTCTGCCTCTAAAAGCCACTTACTTTTCCCACTGTTGTCCCAAATATTGAATGTGAACACAAAGGGAGAAGTTATTGCCTACCAGGGACTATGGTACACACAAAGAACCATCTTATTAAGGCTGAGTTCAGTACAGGAGTTTGGGTCAGTCTGTCCTAGAACAAAGAGGGGACAGAAGGAAAAAAAAAAAAAAAAAAAAAAAAAAAAAAGCAAAGGTTCCTGTATGTTCACTTGGACCCATAATAGAAAAGGAAAGAAAGAAATAAGAATTTAGCCGAAGCCGGTTTGGCTCAGTGGTAGAGCGTCGGTCTGCAGACTGAAAGGTCCCAGGTTCGATTCCGGTCAAGGGCATGTACATTGGTTGTGGGCATATCCCCGGTAGGGGGTGTGCAAGAGGCAGCTGGTCGATGTTTCTCTCTCGTCGACGTTTCTAGCTCTCTATCTCTCTCCCTTCTTCTCTGTAAAAAATCAATAAAATATATTTAAAAAAAAAGAAATAAGAATTTATTTATTGGGACATAAATAACTATCCCATGAGATGGAATAAAGTAAGTGTCACATCAGAGGTAGAGACAAAATGTCAGAGCTTCCCTCGGTTGTACACGTGTAGTTCCAAACTGAGTCTAAATCCCACAGTGTGCCGAGGAGGAGCCCTTGCTGTGGAGGCCTCTGTCTAAGGGAGTGGGGTGTGCTGATCTTCAAGCTGTTGGAGGGACCTTGAAGATACCTGCTCTGGGGCACTAGGAGAATGATGATAGATAAGAATGGGTGATGAGTCTGCATGGAGCCACACAATGAGTTTGTTGACTCTTGCTTCTTAGCCTTGATTTGACCTTTGGCTCATGGAGGAAAAATGTTTTGTTCATGAAGGTCCCAACGATAATGTTGTGTTCACACTAGAGAAATTCAACACCCAAGAGCACGAAGGGCTTGTATTAATATATTTAGCTAAATCAACATGGCCACCAAGATTTATCCATTGAGGCCATTTCTAAGCAATAGGTGATAGAGAATGATAGCAAATACCTCTCGGATACACAGCAGGAAAGTGCTCATCTTCTCTAGAGAGTCTTCCCTGACCTCTCCTCCAACTGAGTTCTGCACCTCCCTCTGTGCTCCTACAGCTCCTGAACGACCACCATCAGATCACCTGATCGCCTCCCCGACTGGAGAGTGAGCTCCTTGGTTCAGAGTATGTGTTATGCCTATCTCTGTGTACCCAATAGATATTCAATAAATACCTGTTTAATAAATGCCCAGAGGCAGCCCAAACTACCAGTTTTAATGGGAGGGGGTGTGATAGGTAACATGGACTCAGGATGTGAACTCCGCTTATCTAAGTGAAGTAAGAATGAAGTGGGCATTCTACTCAAAATGTGATTCCCCCGCCCTGATGGGGTGATGATTCCCCTTCTCCCACTGCCTGCCCTCAAGCCACATACCCAGAGGTGCTATTTAAGGGGTACTACTTTAGAGCCCACTCTTTCCACAGCTCATGGGTGTGAGAAATGATAGCAGGAGTTGAGCATGGCTCCAGGGAGTTCCAAATGCATTAGGGGGTCACCCACTCTCTTGTTGCAGTGAAACTTTTCACTTCCCCTCACTTATGGGAACACAGAGCTTTCTCTTTCTGTAACTTTAACTGGCACTGAGCTCATAGCTCCATTCTGGGCACTTTCACATCAGTTTTGTCATCATCTGTCCTCCCAGTCTCTGTTAGCTGCAGGCAGTCTCTGTTAGCCAGTCTCTGTTAGACTGGCAACCCGAGCAGGAATAGGACCTTCCAAAGGCCCTGATACTTTCCATTTCCCCCAGCACACCCATGTCCATGGTCTTATCAGATACCAATCTAGGTAACAAAACCTAAAGCAGTCAAAAGACTGGCTCAAGGTCACACAGATGTGTGGTAGGCCCATAGGCCCATAGAGGACCAACTTCCTGTACAGGTGTGACCCTCTGAGATGGCACAGGTAGGGCACCTCTGAAGGTATCAGCTTCTCAGAAGAGACTGCAAAGCTGCTGAGGAGCAGGAAACAGAGGTGGACAATCTTGATGATCTGCGTTTTCCTAGAAAAAGAGCGCTGAGATGCATGAGTGTTGGGGAGACCATTGAGTGTTGAAGCCAAGAGCACTAGTCACAAGGAAGTGGAATGCCTAGAACTAGAGAATCCCTGCAAGCAACTCATGAGACTGGAAATCCATAGCAAGATGGAATACATGGCCATTTTGCCAACATAACAAACCAAGAAGTAGTAACATTCTTTGGTTTTGCCAATATGGTTGCCATGTCACTTGCGGGGAATGGGATTGTAGAAACAAGGACGCCATTATCCAAAGTGCAGGGCTCAAGATGGGGTCTGGAGGAGAGTAAACTAGTTGAAGCAATTCATCAGGGTGGCCACACTCCACCCTCATCCAGCCACCCCATACTTCTTAAAGTGGAAAGGGCCTTCGACACCCACCACAGCCTGCTCCTGTGCAGTCAAGAGTGGAAGGCAGTGACAGGTTCAAAAACACCTTCCGTGTTCTTTACTTCCTTCAAACAGTGCTTTTATGCCTGTTTCTAGCTCTTCCAGGCTGGAACATCCAGCAAGAGAGGGAAATAAATTAGTAGCGATTTATTGAGTTTTTTTTACACCCCCTTCCAATTGGAAAGTGGTGAAGTGTTAAAAAAAAAAAAAAAAAAAAAAAAAAAAAAAAAGCCTTCCCTGCCGAAACCGGTTTGGATCAGTGGATAGAGCGTCGGTCTGCGGACTGGAAGGTTCCGGGTTCGATTCCGGTCAAGGGCATGTGCCTCAGTTTTGGGCACATCCCCAGTAGGGGGTGTGCAGGAGGCGGCTGATCGATGATTCTCATCCATGTTTCTAACTCTCTATCCCTCTCTCTTCCTCTCTGTGAAAAATCAATAAAATATATTTTAATTTTAAAAAAAAGCCTTCCCCAAAATGTTATGTAAAAATTTTTATTAGTTTGCTTTGTTTTCAATAGCAAATATACATAACTGTACAAAATTTAGAAAATATGGGAAATCATAAGAAAGTAAAAATTATTCAGCATTCTATATGTAGTTTTGCATTTTATGAATGATATTTAATTGTCTTTCTTGAGCTAATATATTTTAATATTGTTACTTTATATTCTTCCCTGTCATTAAAAACAAATTCCTGGAAATCAAGACTCAGCTCTCTGAATGCCATGTAATTCCTTAAAAGTGCAGGTCTCTTTTCTGCCTTTTAGGAATGAGGTGTCAACTTGGAGTGATTCCAAACTAGCATTCATGATATTTCATTGCATGGATATACCAAAATTTTATGCCAAAATTTATCTTTAACCATTATGTTACTTAGGTCAGTCCATTCATATTGTTCTAACTTTTCTCTATTATATATTGGGCTGAAACTGAAGGATAATTAGCCAGAAAAAGAGGGGGAAGGGGATTATTCAGGCAAAGAACAAGAGGCCTGCACTTTAAAAAATACATAAAGTAGATTAATCAAAATATTCAGTAGTAATGATAATAGTAACTAATAAATAGTACTTATTATGAGCCAGCGATGTTCTAATTCTCTTATAGATGCTAATGTATTTGGTCCTATTAGTATTTTCTCCTATTAATTAGCATATTCTTCAGTTTCACTTCAGGAAACAGAAGCACAGACAGGGAAGTAATCTATGGAAGAACACACAGCTAATCATGATAGATTTGGAAATGACCCAAAAGAGATATGGCTCCAGAATATAAGTAAATCAGAGAAGGAAAATGTGCTTCTTACAAATTTATGTTAAAAGCTTAACACCTGCCTGGCCACAGTGGCTCAGTGGTTGAGTGTTGAACTATGAACCAGGAGGTCATGGCTCGATTCCCAGTCTGGGCACATGCTTGAGTTTTGGGCTTGATCCCCAGTGAGGGGCATGTGGGGGGTAGGGGTGGGGGTGCAGCTGATCAATGATTCTTTCTCACCATTGATGTTTCTATCTCTCTCTCCCTTCCTCTCTGAAATCAATAAAAATATATGTATTTTTAAAAAGCTTAATAGCCAGTTTTATAAATATGAAGTAAAATGTCTTTCAGTTTTACATATTACATGTCTTCTAAACAGCGGAATCCATGGCTTTCTCTCTTTGCCTTAGAAAGTTAAGGGAATGAAATAGTGGTTTTCCTTATTTGTTCTAAATATTAATCTCTG